ATTAGTAAAATAATTTAACCTTTAAAATATTTTAACCTTAACCTTTAACCCTAAACTATTTAATCAATTAGTAAAATAGATTATACAACTAAATGGATGGCTTGCCAATAAATAAAATTCAATTATTCTTAATTATTTTAGAGCACAAATCAAATTGAATTGACATAAGAGAGTGTGGATTTTTGTGATTAAAATTAAATGCCAAAGATGAGAATAAGAGCCAAGGAAAATAATAAAGCAGGTTTTTAGTAATAATAGAGGAAAATTCGAAATTCTTTAACTGTTATTTTTTTTTTCTTTTTATAGTTGCACTTAATTAATTATTCCTTTTGTTAGACAGAAAGAGACTAGAGCTAAGAATTTTATTTTTGACAAAGAAACAAAATGGAGATCAAAGATAGATTAGGGCAAGAATATATTTTCATTCTTTGAGGAATGAAAAACCCTAGCTAAACAAAGTATGGGAAATACAAAATTAGAAATTATATATAAAAAAAAAAGGTACAAATGCATGTATGTATGGTGGAGATATTCAAAATTCCTAATGATAAATATATATATTCCTTAGAAATTAAAATAAAATAATTCAAAAGATTTTTTTTTTTTTTTTTTTTTTTTTTTTTTTTTTTTTTTTTTTTTTAATCATCCTTCGAAATTGAATCCTTTGTGCCAACCTGCCAAAACAAGATTAGCGGAGCATAAGGTCTTTTTTTTTTTTTTTTTTTTTTTTTTTTTTTTTAAATCATCCTTCGAATTGAATCTTTGTGCCAACTGCCAACAAGATTAGCGAGCAATAAGGTCTCCCATACTGTTTGGAGATCCTTTGTAGTAATCCAGTGTGAGACAGTTGTCAACCTCTCAAGTTACTGTATCCCTTTGTCTTTTTATTTTTTTTAGGTTGTCCATTTGATTTGATGGGCAAGAAAACATGGAATAGGTTTTGGAATCAGTCTTGGACACTCTCAAATCAGAAATCTGGCAATGGAATCAGACCAAATGCAATTGAATGGTTGGCTTTCTTTTTTATTTATTTATTATTATTATTGTTAAAACTTAAAATGTAAAATACATTCCGTGCTCCGCACGCAGAGTGATATGGGATGGTGGCATGAATCCCTTTTTTTTTATCAAAGGTCTTGAGTTTAAGTCATAAATGTAGTATTTTCTTCTTTTTTATAAATTAATCCCGCTTAAATCTGGATTAATCAAACTATTAAATTTCAAATATCAGATGGTTAAAACCGAATAAAATATACTCCTTTAGAAAATTGGAGCAAATATTTTAAATAAATGGAGAAAATTTTATTATTTTCATAAGATAAAATAGATATGATGGTAGTCACTACCAAAATGACGTCTTGAAGGATCTCAGTGGTCTTGTCCATCACTATTAATCATCCTAATTTTGAGTTCTTCTTAAAGGCATTAGCTTCTACTTGAGGCACTGTAAATGAAAATATTCTCTTTCTTTTAGAGCCAACCTTACAGCTTTATTTTACTTATCAAGCAACATAATTGAGAGGTGCATAAAAAAAAACACATCAATTCAATTTTTTAGCAAAGTTTACGTCAGTATTGAGTTTTACCTTTTCATCTACTATTACCTAGAAGGTTATGTTTTTCAAAATAAAATAATTAAATTCTTTTTCTATCTTGTATTGCTTGATATCAGTGTCAGCAATACGTATCGAATGATTTAACAGTTTAGCTGCGAATAACACTTAATCTGTTTCCTTTCACACCAAAAATAACTATATATGAGTGGTAAAATACATATTAATTGATATTCAAAACAATCTTTCTTCGTCATAAATTGCTATTACGAGATATATATGAGTGGTAAATAAAAGATGAATTCAAAAGAATCACGCAATCATCTCTTTCAAGAAGTGGAAAATTATTGCCCATAAAAATGTCAATCTAGTTTGTAGTTTCACATACTAATTAACTTTTCACACAAATGACATTTTGGAGGGTAGGTTAATTAATCAATCAATACTTTGATAGCGAGAGAGAAAGGCTATAGGGATTTTATATGTGCTTCTATGTCCTTTTTGGTCTTTTCCTTTGTAAATTTTTTGTGCTGGTCTGTGTTGCTAAAGAGAGTGCTGACCTGCCCACATAGATTGATGAGGTGGCAGAAACTGGCCCCATTTTAACTTAACCCACGTTCTGACAAGCTAAATTAATCTCAAATTGCAAATTTTTTAAAATGGTTTAAGCATGAAATTGCAATTTTTTTTTATGATTCCTGTTCCGGTTTAGATCCTAAGAAGAACTAGAATCCAACCGAAATTTCAGTACTTTAATTTTCTATTCCAATTTATTTGCATATAGTTGTTTGATTCGGCTCGAAGTCCTGAGAACCATGCACAGCCCGGATCATAATTCCTTAATAAGAGTATTTGCATACCTAATATCCATTAACACATCAAAACCTAAGCAGCATTGCATTTCTTGACAAGATTATTTGTAACCTATTCTTTGTGGTATATGCCTAACTATTATTCTAAGATTGCAATAAAATCCTCGTCCATAAATCACAATGTTCGTTCAAAAAAAGAAAAAGAAACGTTTCTTACTACTTATAAGACGAAAAATAGATGCTTATGCTTATAATCCAATAGGCATATTACTCATTCATAGAATGTGTAAGAAATCTAAAACTTGACTTTGACATCTGTAGAAAGTAGAAATATACTGATAATTAGTTAGAAAATAATTTTTTTTATTTAAAAAGAAAAAAAGAAGAAGAAGAAGAAGGTTGTAATTAGCATGTTAGAATCTCTTATAGCAAGTTGAGGTATAAAGTCCTTAAAGAAATGTATTATTTAGAAATTATTCAACATTTATTAAGAGAATATAAATGGGTATATGCCAATATATGTCGCCACTAAGGGAAGAAAATGCACCAACACATGCGCCCAATTATTTCAATTTAATAATCAAAAATATTCTGCCAACTATGTTTTAAAACTGAAACCATCCAGTACTATTCTTCCTGTACAGTCGATACTGTTATTCCTGTTATAAAATTTCCATAAATTTAAAATATATATGTATAAAATTATAGAGAAAAAACATAACAAAACATTGTACATATGGCAATGTAAATGGAATCATATCCTTAATAATAATAGAGTACCAAAGGTAAAGATTTTTATGCAAATCAAATCTATAACAAAATTCATTATTCCTCGAAGATAATTGTATTCTTTATTCTTAGGTTGTATTCGACAGTAGCTTTTTAAATAGTTATAATACTAAACTCTAATTTTTTTATAGTGTTCAGTCAACATTTGAACTAACTTTAGAGATTAAGGTACCATTTTATAAAAAGGTTAATCATTGTAATATTTAGTTTTTAGCATTTTATAAAAAACTATTCAAATAGTTAAATGTTACTAAAACAGTTAACAGCTACCAAAACAGCTAATTTTGCCGAACAGATACTTGGAAATAATATTATGAAGCTATTTACAGAATATAAATTTCTAATTATACAGAACTGTTAATTAATTAGCCTTTTAAATTATAAAAAAATGATTTGGAATAATTACTAACTACTAATCAAAAACCTTTACCTCTAAGTTGAGTATATATAGAAAGCAATTGTGTTTTGTAGTCAATTTTGGTAGTTGAATTGGAATTAATGATTTGGTATAATGTGTGATGATCTGAAGACTAGTTGTCAAAAACAAGAGTCTCTTCCCACTATACAACTCTCAATCCTAACAGACTGTTCAAGGTTATTAGTATCTCAAATCTGTCAATGTCTTACAACCCAATTGAGAGATATTGTACATACAAACTGGGCCAGAGGGACCCTTTTAAGTTTCAAAACAAATTTTAGCCTAGCATTTCCATCTATGATCAATTCTTCTAAAACCATGAATTTCAACAATTTTTTTTTTTTTTATAATTTATCAATTATTTAATTTTATATGAATTAATTACTCTTTTAGTCACTATGAATGAGCTAAGATGTTCGAGATTAATTTGAAAAAAATTCTTCTGAATTTGTTTGATAAGTTTAATCAATTGATTATAATTTTTTTTATCAAGTTCATTTTCTAAACAAGCGGATTTCAACAATTGTTTGAAAGAGGTTTGCCAGTTGACTTGATAATAGTAAATCAACTTGTAAAAAACCTCCAACCCAAACTTAAGTTCATAAATAAATCAAAATATTTTGTTTTTTCTTTTTTTTCTGTTTCTTCTACTGTAAACCATGAACAACCATCGCACAAATTTGAGATTAACTGATCTACATACAAACTCAATTATATCTAAAATTTGAATCAACCTCAAGTTTAAATATACAGTGATTGAGCTAAGGTCGAACTCGGTTCGGACTCGATTAGTTTTGTAGTTAATAATAATAATAATATTATTATTATTATTAGAATGGAAATTAAAAAAAAAAAGAAAAAGAAAAAAGGAAATATTTGAAAGAAAAAGAAAAAGAAAAAGAAAAAGAAAGTGTTTGAAAAAAAAAAAAAAAAAAAAAAAGAATTAAAAAAAAAAAGAAAAAAGAGAAAAGGAAATATTTGAAAAGAAAAAGAAAAAAGAAAAGAAAAAGAAAGTGTTTGAAAAAAAAAAAAAAAAAAAAAAAAAGAAGAAAAAGACACTTACTTTGTCCCCAAGTCCAACAAATTGCATCTTATTGCATAAACATATATATAATAATTTTGATGATTTTGGAAGCATGTGGGTCACCCTTTATTTTCCATAATAAATCTCAACCGTTCATCCATCCTTGCTCACTCCCTATTTATCACCAAATCCTCGTCTTGTTCTCAAAAAAAAAAAAAAAAAAAAAAGAAGAAAAAGACACTTACTTTGTCCAAGTCCAAACAAATTGCATCTTATTGCATAAACAATATATAATAATTTTGGATGATTTGGAGCATGTGGGTCACCCTTATTTTCCAATAATAAATCTCAACCGTTCATCCATCCTTCTCACTCCCTATTTATACCAATCCTCCGTCTTGTTCTCTTCAGTCCAAACTTCCTTCGCTTTGAGTCTCTCATCACCACCACCACAGTAACCAAAAACCTTCCCTCTTTACTTCTCCTCCAACTTTCTGCATTATAAGTACACACTTCTCCTCTGACATCATCATCAATGGCTTGTTTGGAGATGTGCAATAAGGAGGTCAGTGAGAATCTCCTATATGTTAACTTTAATTTATTATCATATAACTTTCCTTTCCTTTTCCTTCATTTCTTTAATATCACCAAGGTCATTTCTTCATCGTTCCTTTTACAATTTCATTTTTTGTCTTAAACAATTTATGAACACATTAATATTATTTTTATTTGTTATATACACGATCTAATACATGCATGCAGGGTAAGTTTAAAAAGGATCGAGAAGAATGTACTCTTGATGGGACAACAGATTTTCATGGTCGTCCAGCTATTAAACAGAAATCTGGAAAGTGGGTTGCAGGAATTATCATCCTCTGTAAGCTCCCTCAAAATCTGAATTAATTAAACAGATTATATTATTATTTACCAATTCTTTTTCTTTCTGATATAATAATAATAATAATAATAGTGAATATGCTTATTTTTTCTTAGCCAGAAGATAGAGAGATATGGGTCCAGAATCTAATAATTAAAACTCTCATAGTCATGGTACTGTGGATATATATGTTTATTGCTTTGTCCAAACGCACTATAAAAATTACTGTACATGCTTACATCTCTACAGTTATTTATCCATAATTGCAAGTTGGAAATTTCCTGTATGTATAAGCAGAGATTTTGGTTATGATAATCTGAGTTTCTTTTTAAAGTTTTTGGGATGGTGATAAGACGATGGTCTTCTCTACAGAGAAGATGATCTAGAGATCAAAAATTGCGTTGAAAAAAGAAAAGAAAGAAAGGGGAAAGGAAAAAGAATAGAGAAGGAAGGAACAAGTGTTGAATTGTAGTTGCAGGGTGGGTTATTAGGCAGCGCTATTGAGGCTTAGCTTTTAGAATAGTTGAGTTGAGTTGGATGGCCACTATCATTTTACTATTTAGACGACACGAGAGACCGAGAAAGAGAGAGAGCGAGAAGGTGAAGAAAGCATGCATTAAGAGCAAGACGTACCTGACACGTAATCTCTCCGTTTTTGTGCAAGACGTATACCTTTGCCACGTTCCTATCTCCCTTGATTTCTCCAACCAACGTCTGAAAATCCTTTAATAAAGTAACCATAATATTTATTAAAATACTTTTTTATTTAAAATAATTAATAAATAAAAATACTTTTAATACACTAAAGATCAATTTAATTTGATCGTCATCCCGAGGTGGGATGGAAGATTCATTTTCCCTTAATTGGAGATTTGAAGTCCGAGCCCTAAGTATAGAATTCCTGCAAAAATGCACTTATTCTAGTATATATGTTCAAAAATCAAATTAAATACTCAATTTTTGGTATAATTATATTCAGTGAGCAAATTGCATCATTATTTTTAATTAGATTTATTAATTTTATTAACAAGAAATGAAAACAAGAATCGTAATTTGGTGGTATAATAATAAGGTACACGCAATAAATTAAATGATTGAATTCTATTTAAGTGAAAAAGAAAGGAAAGGACGAAAATAGCTAAGGTTGGAAAGGTAAAGAGGATAAAGAATTCTAAAATTGATAATGGTACCAAATAAAATAAATGCATGGAACGTACTTATAAGCACATGAGTAGTTTGCTTATAATAGATGTAGGTGTAAATGTCCAATCACAATTTCCAATATAGATCAACTTTCGGTTAATGATGTTTCCTTTAGATGTTAATACTCCCATATCAAAATAAATGACTCATTAATTGGATTTGCTCCATTGTTAGATACATATTTTCTTTTTCTTTTTTTCATCTTATAAAATCTCCAGAAAAATTGGTTCTTAACTCCCGAAGAGTGAGATGGGACGACATGGATCTTTTCTCCCTTAACCAAAAGTCTCGAGTTCTATGTATGGAGTTCTTTTAAACACTTGAAAAAGAGTGTTTTGCCTCTTTTTTGGGCCTGTGTTTAGATTTTAGAGTAGTCAACCAATGAACTTTGAACATCGAACGGTTAAAATTTAAAAAAAAAAGAGTTATTAATTCGTCCTTATAATAGCTGTAAACATCTTCTGCCCTGTGAAGTATGAAAGGGTGACAGCTCTTTCATATATTATTATTCTAATGGAATAAACAAAAGTAAGTTAAAAGGCGAGCTTAGGAAGGCCACTAATATGTGGCCTATGACATAAAAAACAAACAATAATAGGCAACAGAGAAGTAATTTTCTAGGAAAATAGTAATAATGTTCATCTTATTGCGAGTGTATATCGATGTCAATTTCTAGGGTACTCGTCAGATTTCTAAATTTGCATCTCTAAAGCACATGAAGATTGAAAGATGCATATAAATATAGGTGATACGGAACATGAAAAAGTATTGCTAATTGTACGTTTTAGACATTGTTGCTAGCTTGCGTGGTGCTCTTTGGACAATTTCTGATCTATGTATCAACTTATGCTCATTATGGTTCTTGAAAGCTACTTAACATTGGGTTTGTTTGCAAAATTAATTGTTTTGATAGTTATTAGTTGTTTTAATAGCATTTAGCTGTTAAATGTTTGAGTACTTTTTCATAAAACTCTAAAAGCTAAATATTCTATAGCTTATAAAACGCTACTTTAATTTTTAAAATGGCAATTTAGCGTTGCTTAAACTTAAAAAGCTGTTGCAAAAAACAGTTATTGTATTTTATATGAAAATTGTTAAAACCTAATTGGATACCCTAACTGGGTTTTGGTGGTCTGCATTTCTACACAAATGGAAATAGTTTTTTACTTGTTATGTTTTATGGATGAATCAGTGAACCAAGGCCTAGCAACCCTTGCATTCTTCGGCGTAGGCGTCAATTTGGTGCTGTTCTTGACAAGAGTATTGCAACAAAACAATGCTGATGCTGCTAACAGTGTTAGCAAATGGACAGGAACTGTCTACATCTTCTCCCTCGTCGGCGCTTTTCTCAGCGACTCCTACTGGGGAAGATACAAGACCTGTGCCATCTTTCAAGTCATTTTTGTCATTGTAAGTTTTTTTTACTTAACTGAGCATCAAACTTTCTTGCAAGTGAAATTTTATGAAGGTCTAATTTGCTTTCTTTTTTGTGTTATTAAAAATAACAGGGTCTGATGTTACTATCACTTTCATCGTATCTTTTCCTTATAAGACCAAAAGGATGTGGTGATGGAATGACTCCATGTGGGTCTCATTCAAGTATGGAAATCGGGTTCTTTTATCTCTCTATATATCTAATTGCCCTCGGAAATGGAGGGTATCAACCTAATATCGCTACGTTTGGGGCTGATCAATTTGATGAACAGGATCCTAAGGAAGGGCATTCAAAAGTTGCGTTTTTTAGCTACTTTTACTTGGCTTTGAATTTGGGTTCTCTCTTCTCCAACACTGTATTAGGGTATTTCGAAGATGGAGGGATGTGGGCATTAGGGTTTTGGGTGTCTACAGGTTCTGCCTTTGCTGCATTGGTCTTGTTTCTTGGAGGAACTGCTTGGTACAGACACTTCAAGCCTAGTGGTAATCCTCTATCCAGATTCTGTCAAGTTATCATCGCTGCGACGAAGAAATGGAAGGTTGAGATGCCACAAGATTCAGAGGACTTGTATGACTTGGATGACAAAGATGGCTCTGTTAATTCTAGCAGAAAGATACTTCACACTCATGGATTCAAGTAAGTAATTGAAAGCATTATCTGACTCATGAAATAGTCATCGCCAGTTCATCTATCTTTTGTTAAGAAACTCAGTTTATCAAACATGTCGATTAGAGGTCACTAAAATTTGTTATTAACATAAAATTCTAATTATGTTCCTCATTAAAAAACTCTCTGAACTGCTTTTTTCAAAACACTGTACTGTTAAGGAACTGCTTTAGAAAATAAGCAACAGTTTCAGCCTCAACAACTCTGACTAATGTTGGGCAATATATTTTCAGGTTCTTGGATAGAGCAGCTTTCATCTCCTCAAGAGATATGGACGATCAGAATCAGGATTGCCGCAACCCATGGCGGCTCTGCCCAATTACACAAGTAGAAGAAGTTAAATGTATATTAAGATTACTCCCAATTTGGCTCTGCACCATACTCTACTCCGTTGTCTTTACACAAATGGCCTCTTTATTTGTAGAACAAGGTGCAGCAATGAAAACTACTATCTCAAACTTCAGAATCCCTGCTGCTAGCATGTCTAGCTTTGACATTCTCAGTGTTGCACTCTTCATTTTCCTTTACCGGCGAGTTCTTGATCCGCTTGTGGGCAGAATTAGGAACTCCAAATCAAAAGGACTAACTGAGCTTCAAAGGATGGGTATAGGGCTAGTAATAGCAATAATGGCAATGGTTTCAGCTGGGATTGTGGAGTGCTATAGACTAAAATATGCAAGAAAAGACTGCAGACATTGTGAAGGTTCAAGCTCCTTAAGCGTATTCTGGCAAGTTCCTCAATATGCACTTATCGGAGCGTCTGAAGTTTTCATGTATGTTGGTCAACTGGAGTTTTTCAATGCACAAGCACCAGATGGATTAAAAAGCTTCGGAAGTGCACTGTGCATGACATCGATCTCGTTAGGGAACTATGTAAGTAGTTTGTTGGTGACTATGGTGATGAAGATTTCGACAGAGGGAAACATGCATGGATGGATCCCTGGAAATCTGAACAAGGGTCATCTAGATAGGTTTTACTTCCTCTTAGCTGCTTTAACAAGTGTAGACTTGTTTGTGTATATTGCATGTGCAAAGTGGTATAAATCTATCAAGTTCCAAGGGAGAGATGTGGCTAACAATAAGGAAGAAGATGACTTCGAAGTCTGATTATCAGAAATTAACACCTACAGTACAAAGCTAAATAAATAAGATGGAGGCATATGCATTTCGCAGTGAGTTTTCTGTTCTAAAAAGAATTGGGTCCTATAGGAGTGCAAGAAACCTATTGCTCAAATCTCTCCTATAAGACCTAATTCTCCAGTTGATTCTGCTTTTAGAGTTAGGACTGGGTAGAAATGGGTTTTTCAAATAGGTGGATTGACTTTTGGTTTAATGTCACCCATACTAATTTGCTGGGTTTTACAAGCGATAGAATTGACCGGTGCTTGTAATCAAATTTATGTAAAAAAAGGAAAAACATAGAGCAAGTTCTCTTTGTAGAATGCGCACTAAGTTACTGTATATGAGAGCTGCTCTGTTGGATTATAATAGAAAATGCCTCCTTTCCTTCAAATTACTTTTGTTAGCTTTCATTTTCACTGTCATACCTATGAAGCATATCAAGAACCTTTCTCATAAGAAGTGCAAATTCTAAACTTAATAAATTTCCTGAATTGTAATATCAAAAAATGTTCAACAGCATTTGGTTCTTCTGTCTATAAGCTGCACTTATGATATTCTGTTCAGAATGAAATAGACTGCGAACCAGTCATGCATGGAATATATCTCTTTTGTATAATTTTCAATATTTTCATGAGTCGAGTCCATAGTCTGCGTTTCTATGACTCGAATTCATAATCTGTCACAAGCAAAGCAACTTTACCCGCACGCAAACCATCCTCTCATATGACAACTATTATATACTTGAGGCCTTCTCATAACCCTTTGAAGGTGGGGGTGCTAGAAGGTTTCACTAAACTGATGGGAGGTCAGTTCGATTCAAACTGAACTGAAACCAGGCCATAAATACAAACCGAACTTTTTTCATATAGACCGAACCTAAATTTGCATCTGGACCAAACCAATTGGTTCAGTGTATTTTATTGGTATTTGCTATTTCAACTATTTCAATTCAGTTTTAAGCCCAACCGATGAATTTTCTAGCCCAACCGATGAATTTTCTATGCAACAGACTAAAACCGAACAACAAATTCAATTCAAACCAAATGAAATGGATCAATTTGGTTCAATCGGTAATTTTACACACCCCTAGTTTTCACTATCATGGTGAGAGTGGTGAAAGAAACAAAACTCACATTGGTCTCCTCATGAACTGAAAAATAATTATCCACACATTAAATTTCAATCAAATCTAAAAATAAATACTCAACATGAAAAGTCAACATAATAGGCGGTACTAAGAGACATCTAATATATAAGAGCACAACCGATTCAAGAAATCGTTTCGTGTGTGGGTAAGCAAAATTGTTAGGTAGTGAGGAACATCACATAGGAGATCGAGTTAAGTCAGAAGCTGAATCAAGTAAACGTTAAAAACAAAAATTACTGATCAGCAGAGCAACAGATCAAAAGAAAGAACAAGAATGATCATAAAGGCAAAAATTACTGATCAGCAGAGCAACGTATCAATACAACAGAACAACAATAAATAAAGTCGCACGCAGAAACTGAATGCCACGGTTCATTTACTAGTAGCATCATTAAATGGCATGAGGAAGTAGAATGACAATGGAAGAAACTGAAAGCGAGATTGTTTGCATTCAAGAACCAAATCCATACAAAAAAATGATCCATGCTATTCCGATACAGGATAAGATGAACAAGATTTGCATTAACAGTGAAAAAGAGAAAAACCTACAATCTCACTTAATGAACAAGAAATCATTGCAAATTTTAATGATGTGTCTTCAAGTATTTGACTTGTTACCCGTAGAATAATTCCCATAAAAATATTTTCTAAACAAATAATTTCTTACATGGTTTTCAAACTTTATCACAATTTTTTCAAATTCATACAAGGATTAACAAATCACAAAATTGCTAGTTATTAGACAAAAATAAAATGACAGTTCGTACAAATATAAACTACTCCAGAATAACCTGTGTCTAGTGAAAAACTTTGCTGGTACAATATCAGCTTTGGACCCTGCGTACTTGAATGTGATGAGTAGATTCTCGACGCCAGATTGGTTGTGCTCCACTCTGGACGAGAGTAACATACTGCCCTTCTATCAACAGACCCTTGTTCTATAGCATGGGCATGGAAAAGTTTTAAAATTAATTTAGCTTCATAAAATGCTGATCAGGAAAACATACTGCAAATAAAAGTAACTGACCACTAATAATGCAAGTGCTTGGGAAAAGGTCTCCTCTGCATCACTTGAGAACTGCATATATATTGGCATGACACCCCGATAAAGCGACAGTCTCTGCTTAATCCTCTCTCTGACAATAAAAATGTGCCATGAGAAGTTTGAGAACGAAGAATTAAGGCAATCTCTAGATTTAAATGGCTACAGTCTGCAGTAAGTATACAGTCACAAAAGGAATTCAAACATGCAGAGTATATAGCAAATATAAAGGCAAGTTTCCATGCAGATGTGTCATTTCTGATGGGACATAGAAATGGTAATCAATGACAAGTAAATAGCACGGACATGGCATTTGAACAAATCAAGAAATGCTTGGCATCTAAGCATTTGTCCTTTCATGGACAGACACACCCTACCTGGTAGGATGCAATGTTACTGCAACAAGAAAAGAATGTGCAAAATCACACAGCTGAAATTTGGCTGTGACAATTTGCTAAATCTACCAATTGCATTTAAAATTTTTCTTTAAATCATCGGCGGATATGCACATGCAGTCACCTCACACTTGCCAACCTCGATAAAGTTTTGAACACATTTTCACCAAAATAAAGTCCTTTGGTAAGTAAAAAGTCTAGAAGTAATTTGGAAGAAAATGAAGATACTTATTGCCTACTGCTTTAGAAACTCACTCATTTGTGAATGCAAATATAGTTGATGCCGGTTGATAATGACTTAGAAGTATAGCCATGGATCCAGTTCTTGTGAAGACGATGATGGGTGTATTAAGAGTGTTGGCCATGATTGTGGAATGGAAAGCAAACATTTCACCCATATGACCCTGCAAAAGAAAGTCCTCCAGGTAATCAGACTATAAAAGATCAGCACATGGAAAGAAAAGGGTCAGTTAGAAAATTGCAACAGGGGCTAAATTTCCTTGTTTCAATTCTCATTGAGCTCAGGATCACAAACTTAATTCACATTGATATAAGATTCAAACCTATATGGTTAAACAACAATAATTTGAAAATTTAGAATAAAATAAAAATAGATATGTTTCAGTCTAATCATAACTACCTTATAAGCACTAGCAGGAGGCGTTGTGTTAACTGGCAAGCTGGACTCTGTCCTCAACGCCACTGAGTGCATGACTTTAACAGCTTTCAGTGGATACCTTTAGCCATCATTTTATTGGCCAAATTATAAATTAACGATGTGTCAAATAAATCACACAGAAGTAGGAATAATAAAAAGTTGTTGTATCTGGACAACCAAATTTCTTTTTCTCACAATTGAAGAAGAGATCTTACTCAGCTCTACATTCTTCGTGATAATTTACTAGAGCATACCAACAGCTAAACATAACTAAAATAAAAAGAATCATGGTATAATTAAGTTAGAACTAACATAATGAGGCTTCAAAATAAAATAAAACAGCTACAAGTATTTATCTGAGCACCTGAATTAACTATCAACCATGCAATAGAGAGAGCCAAAAATTTAAATTCACATCAATAAGAATTACATATCCATGCACAAAAGGAACATTTTCCAAAATATTGGTCAGATAAAAATACAATATATTTTTCTTGCAAATTACTTTTCAGGATAGTTTTTAATGAAAAAAAAAAAAAAAAATCTCTTTTAACTTCCTATTTTAGTATACAAAAAAGACCATGCATTCATCATTTTCAATGGGATCAAGGCCTGTGGTGGTTTCTGGCTATGGTAAATAAGCCAGGTTGCATGCGACCACAGAAGTTCGGCAGGGCCAATAGTTGTTAAAGGCACAATATGCATAGTCCCACCCAAGAGCTTAAGCATTAGCTAGGGTTTCAAATAATGCTGATGACATGATGCATGTTACAAAATGTAAATATCATTTCGAAATTGGAATGTCATTGAATTCTGCCAACAACCCAATAACAGCAATCACAAGGAATGTCACAAGCACATACCAGTATTCATACCATTGAAAGTAGTTTTTTCACTCGTTCTACCTTCTATTGAGGTCATGCTACACACTGTCCTCCCACTTTTCTTTCTTTCACAACCTTAAGCAACTTATTTTGACCCTAAAATTCTTGATATTTGACCTCAATGTTCAATTACAAGGTTCGTGAGTATATAAGCGAGGTATCTTGGCCAAAAAAGGGTAATTTTCAATGATCTTTTTATTTTATCTTTCATTATTTTGGCCCAGCAAAAATAAGTAATACTCCCTCTTAGCAGCAGATCCTTTTTTTTTTTTTTTACAGGGTCAACACATAAAAAGGGGTCAAATGAGCACTAAAATGAATTTAATCGGGTTCATTTAGACACATATATATGTATATAAAAAAAAAAAAAAAAAAAAAAAAAAAAAAAAAAAAAAACACAAGGAATGGTCACACAGCACACTACCAGTATGTCATACCATTGAAAGTAGTTTTTTTCACTCGTGTTGTCCTACCTTCTATTGAGGTCGATGCTTACACACGTGTCCTCTCCACGTTTTCTTTCTTTCACAAACCTTAGGAGGCAACTTATTTTGACCGTGCTAAAGATTCCGTTGATAATTTGGAACCCTCAGTTCAATTACAACAAGGCTCGTGAGTATATAAGCGAGGTATCTTGGACAAAAAAGGTGTAATTTTCAATGATCTTTTTATTTTATCTATTCTATTATGTTTGGCCCAGCAAAAAATAAGTATACTCCCTCTTTAGACAGCAGAATCCTTTTTTTTTTTTTACAGGGTCAACACATCAAAGGGCGTCAAATGAGGACTAAAATGAATTTAATTTCGGGATTCATTTAGACACATATATATGTATAATAATAAAAAAAAAAAAAAAAAAAAAAAAAAAACAAGAAGAAAAAAAAAAAAAAAAAAAAAAAAAAAAAAAAAAAAAACAGAGGGATCAATTGACCCGTCGTTTTATATAATGGATCTACCACAGCTCCCACTATTGTTTTGTTTTTACAGGGATCAATTGACCCGTCGTTTTATATAGTGGATCTACCACAGCATACACTATTGTTTTGTTTTTACAGGCAGAAGAACCCACATTAGAACAGCACAGCTAACATCTACAAGCAAGTTTCAATTAAGGTCTAAGCTTATTACAGTTTAAGATATAAAAACACGTCTCAAGTATCATTGAATAAATTTATTGATCATCAAATGAGCCAAGTTCACTTACTTTCCATGGGCAGTTTCTCCCGAAAGCATGATTGCATCAGCACCTTCACGTACTGCAATTGCTATGTCTGAAACTTCAGCCCTTGTTGGTGTAGGATGATTAATCATGCTCTCAAGCATGTTTGTAGCTACAATAACTGGTTTCTTCATACTGTGACACTTTTTAATGATCTCTTCCTGTTTTAAAACAACAAAGTTTGATTAAACAATAAATTTCAATGTTTTTGAACTGAATATAAGTACCATATTTAAACTTTGGACATGAGTCATAACATAACAAGGCATGTGCATCAATCAGACTCAATAAGGCCACATGCGGGAAGATATAGTAGTCACCTTCAATGATTTAGCTCACCAAGTAGTATGATTTAAGAATGCAAGATAAGTACAGGGTTGCTAGAAATAGAATGCAATTTAGCTGGACTTCAAAAATAATCCTAGGACCTTAAGGGGGGAGCGGGTGTATTGGAGTAAAACTCCGTTAGATTTTAAAAGACTTTAAAATTCCAATTGTATTCAATTTAGATTTTTTTGGAATCAATTTAAATTTTGTGGTAGTCAATTCAAACTCTTATAAAATCCATAAAAATCTTATGGTATTCAGTTATGACTTTCTAAAAATCCATATAAATTTGATGGTATTCAAAAAATTACTGATTTAGAAGGATTTTATAAAATTATTGATTTCATTGGATTTAGAATGCTAGGTACAAATAAAATAGTCATTCACAAATCCATCCTCCAACCCAAACACTTCAAAAATCTTTTAAAATTTAACGGTCTTAATTCAATACATCCCCTTAATAGGGATGGAAGCGAGGCGCTACCCGCGAATTTTAAACGACATGTGTGGGTATCAGTTTAAAATTTTACTACTTGTATCTGTTCTAAACCCATTTAAATATTCATTTAAGTACCCGTATTCGAACATGTTTAAATTTTACCTGTATTTGTCTAAAACTCGTTTAAAGTACTTCTTAAACAGGTAGGACACCGCGAATCCTAAACTATCCAAAATTCAAACTTATTTAAAAATAATTTTTTTACTAATAATGGATAGGGTACCCACGGGTACTCATTACCAAACCCGTTTAATATAACGGTTAATGGATAGTGGGCATCCAAAGATCTATACTCGTACCTTACCCCAATCCGTTATAGGTAGTAATTTCACTACCATATCCACTACTAGTAATTTCACTATCCACATCCGTTTCAAACCCATTTATACTACTCATTTCCTCCTTAAATGAATCCTCTTTAAAATGATCGGAGCAGAGGGGTTACCCTAAAATACCCGAACAACTTCCATCTCTATCCTTTAAAGTGTAAAACAATGTATTAATTATTGGATTAGTTTCGAATTAATTCATATGCTGAGAATTTGATATTTTGACAAATATTAATATTAATAATACTGAAAATTTTTTAGAATTAATTTGCTTATTTCTAAAATTTTTATAGGTTGATTTCAATTAAATAATGATTTAATCAAGTAAAAAAAATTGGAAAAACTTTGAAATAGTCGAGAACTGAAGAATACAGTCTGTCATTGTTGTGACCAGAACACTAGGCTCTCTGAGCTGCAGGCAGTGGGCTGTGCATCAAGCCTGTCTCAACGCCACCTCCTTGTGCGAACTCCGGCAACCAGCGAAGGTCCTAGTTAGAGGTGATTGCTGGTTTTCGATTTTAAATTATATATATACCTGAGATTTTCCGATAAGACAGTCGTCGCCTAGTCAAGGGACGAGAAGCATGTGGTCTTCCGACCACATCGCGACTGTTCTAAGAGCACAGGATGGTCGTCGACAATGCGGCCATTGTAGGCCTTTCACTTTCGACAACAATAAGGTTTTAATGAAGAAAAAACGATTTTGGAGAATATGACTCCTTTTTGCTTTTTGGTCCCTCATTGTTTTGCAGTTTTTCAATTGGGCTCCAAAACCTTTTAATTTGTTCAATTAGGTCCTAAAATTAATTTTGTTTGGATATATATAAATCATTGTAATTTTATCAAACTCAATCAAAATCTTTATAAAAAAAAAAAAAAATTCCACCCATCCCATAAAACTCTATGTAGAATTATAGTAAAACATGTGGAAATCTTACGAAATCCTTCAATTTCGTCAAACTCAACAATTCTTTTAAAATTTAACACAATCCTGATCCAATACACCCTCTTTAAGAATTCGTTATCAATCAAAATTGTTTAGCAAGTACCAATGTAACTATCTCTGTTGTGCTTCAAGATAAACTTTTTCTATATTTGGTTAAGTTGTGAACCTGAGGTTTAGCCTTAGCTTAACCTTTTACTTTCCACCTTTCAACAACAAGCAAGGAGAAATCTGACAGATACATTAACATGCATTTGAAAGTTTGCTTTTAGTAAAAGCCCAGACACTTTAATTTACCTGCAACAAAGGGACTTCCTCAATTGGAAGTTCAGCACCAAGATCTCCACGAGCAACCATTGCCTATAAAAAAAATGAAGTTAAAATGCAAAAGGACATGATGATAGAAAACAATGGATAATAAGTTCCTGAAAGTCTAATATGTTTGAAAAACAGCATTTGGGTAAACGTACACACACAGAGAGTAATAGTCCATTTAAAACTAACCCCATCAGATGCAGATATTATTGAATAAAGATTCGGTATGGAGTCCGCACTTTCAATTTTTACAGTCACATGAATGTCGGCATTGCAGCCTACATGGGGTTTGTGGCAGCTTGATTAAATAAAGAAGAAAGAAGTGAAACCAAATAAAACTGACTTGAAGACCATATCACAATGAAGAAAATACTCTACTTTTGAGATAATCTTTCAACTCATGGACCACTTTTGCATCCTTCACAAAGGAGACTGCATAGAAATCAACTTGGTTGTCGACCCCAAATTTGATATCTTCCCAGTCTTTGTCTGTCCAAAACGACAAATGAAGTTGAACATTCTAATTAAGAGAATAAAAGATAGCTAACATCAGCAATATTATTATTCAAAATCAGAACAAAATATACCTGTAATTGAAGGCAGATTTGCACTCTTTCCACGCACATTTAAATGACGCCTGGATTTTAGTTCTCCACCATCAACCACAACACATTTAACTGTATCCTTTGTCTTTGACTTCACAGCTAATGACATCATTCCACCTACCAGAGTCACAGAAAACAACTCCTCATGTGTTGCAAACAAGTGGCAATCAAGGACTTCATCAAATGAAATATAGAACGCAATTCAAAAAAAAAAAAAGCCAGAAAAAGGAATATAGAAGAATAAAAAGGAATATAAAGGAAAAATAAGGTAATGAGTTGGCCCAATATTTTGCCAATAAAAGCTACCTCAACTAGAAAAATAATTCAAGTTTACCACTCAGCAGCCTTAAAAAATTGCACAAATAATAGATAATCCGAATCTTCTTTATCAATCCCAAGTGTATCTACTTCAATTACTGAATTCAGCAATTTAACGGAATTGCAAGAGTTCAAATGTCAGTAATCCTCAAAATCACATACTCACCTTTTTCATAGAATAATACATTCTATAAGTCAGAAGATCTGATACCATTGTTTTTCCACTACAAATGCAAATCAAACCTCCTAGATAGAACAGTATAAAGCAACTTAGCCGCTCAGCAACATAGACAAAGTGGACCCACCAAAATGGTGAATAGCTCAAACTCCCAATTTTTAACAACGGTCCACTCAAATTCTTGTATGGAAGGCATCCCTACTGTAATTCAATGTGGGAAAAATATTATTAAGTATGTTTTCCTCAATAGGGTCACATATATGTACATGTACAAGATACTATAAACTTAATAAGAATCTAATTGCTGACAGAACTCTATTTACAACTAGTCCTTAACACTCCCCCTCGAGTTGGAACATAGATGTTAATCATGTCCAACTTGTTACAAAGATCCAACTTGTTACAAAGATAGTTAACAAGAGGACCATTTAGAGCTTTTGTTGAAGTGCTGGCATTCTGTTTCATCAAATATTTTTCTGTTTTATCAGTTTTCAATAACACTGCTGGAGTTCCTAATTTCCAGCCTTAGAATCTCAGTTTATTATTTTGTAGTGCTGGCCATTCTGTTTCATCCAAATATTTTTCTGTTTTATCAGCTTTTCATAACACTGCTGGAGTTCCTAATTCCAGCCTTAGAATCCTCAGTTTACTTAATTTTGTGTTCATTTGGATCCATTATCTTTGCAGGAGAATCTGTCTTATTTTCAAGTTGTAATAAATTCTCAAATTCATTGAAGTAAACATATATCTTTTCCTCTCATATTTTTTAATCTTTTAAATTTGTTTCTGCTGAAGACTTTTCATTAACTTCTAGCAGATTAAAAAAATTCAACAAAGCCACATGGTCTTTCTGAGACCTGCTTTTTCAAACATTTAAACCCCTTTTAAAAAACCAATTTTTTAAAAACCCGTGCTTTCAATCCCTCTTCTCTCAACTCCTTTTTAAAAACCAACAAACAGCCATCACAAACAATATGTCCTCCCAGTACTTTATCAACCCTCCTGAAATTTTCACAGGTGAAAACTACCAAATTTGGTCAGTAAAGCATGCTAATGCTATTTGGAAGCCTTTGATCTTTGGGAATGTTACTCGAAAGACAAAACCAATTCTCCTTTACCCCGAAAGATCCCAACTACTAACTCAAATCAACGAACAATTTAGATGAAAAAGCCAAGCGAATCGGATCAGGCGAAAACCTTTATCCCCAAGAATTCCTGTTGTGAAGGCTACTTTTTTTACAAGATCATGGCTTGTAAAACTGCAAAAGAAGCTTGGGATAACTGAAACAAAGAATTATAAGGCAGGATAGAACAAACAAATGCAAGTTGGTGAATTAAAGAGGAGTTTCGGGCCTTTAACCATTGCAGAGAATGAAACTCTTGCCAGTATACTGAAGAAGATTCTTTGATTGTCCAACAATATTAGGCTACTTGGTGAAAGATTCCCCGACAGTCGAATTTGTCGAAAGGTAGCTTACTTGTGACCCTTCCTGAGAGGTTTGAGTCAAAAATCTCTTCTCTAGAAGAGTCCAAGGATCTTAATAACATTTCATTGGCTGAATTGATGAGTGCTCTTCATGCACAGGAGCAGCGAAGACTTCTAAGGCAAGACAACACCATAGAAGGGGCATTTTCTATGCATAAACAGCATGCTGAAAAAAGCAAGAAGAGTTCTAACCAAAAGAACAAAGGCAATAAAGAAGGGTCCAAACAGAAAAAATTTCAACCTTGTTCTCATTGTAAAAAAACTACTCATCTTGAAAAATTCTGTTGGTGGAGACCAGATGCAGTATGTGGCAAATGCAAACAACTTGGACATGTTGCCAAAGTCTGCAAATCAAAGAAAGATGTTCAAACCCAACAAGCACAAGTGGCGGATGATGTAGATGTGCAGGAGGAGCAAGCTTTTATGGCTTTCTGTCTTTCCAACGATGAAAAGCTTTTATGGCTTTCTGTCTCTCCAACGATGAACCGGAGGTACATGAAGAGCGAGCTGTTGTTGCTTCTTGTTTTTCTATTGATGGTGCAGGTGATTTGTGGCTTATTGATAGTGGGTGCACTCATCATACGTGCAAAGATGATTCTGTATTAAGCACTCTTGATGAAACTTATAAATCTAAAGTGAAGATGGGTAACGGCCAATATATTAAAGTTGAAGGCAGTGATTCAGATACTATCCAAACTCAATCAGGTATAAAAACAATTTCTGATGTCTTATATATACCTAAAATCAGCCAAAATCTCTTGAGTATTGGACAAATGCTGGAAAAAGATTATGCTTTTGAATTTAGAAAGCGGAAGTGCACAGTTTTTAATCCTGTAGGAGAAAAAATGTTCTCTGTAACAATGAAAAAAAGGAGTTTCTTTATCAATTGGGAAAAAGGAAGTTCCTTTAATCCCCAATTGGGAGGAAACGGATAAAGCAGCATTTAACTGCATCCCACCTTCAGTAAATCAGGACTGTTGTGGCCACAAAACGAGTTGGGCATTTCAATCAAAAGAGCTTGTGGCACAAAAAGGTTTGGGCTATTTCCCAATCCCAAAGAAGTGTGTGGGAGATGAAACAAAAGACTTTAATTCTGAAGCAACCAGAATTATGTGTGAAAAATATCTCTGCATGTTTCGACGGCAAAGAATCCTATTTTTCATAGGCAACCAAGCACAATGTTCAAGAATTAAGTTTCATTTATTAGAGAAGTTCAATCAATCTACATGAAGGTCATTACTTGTTACCCTGGCTTATCGAGAAAACAGATTATCTTGACATTTTCACAAAATCCTTTACCAAAAGAAAAGATTTGAAGCCTCTGAGGAAAAAATATTTGTGTTTGTTTCCCATCAAAAATGCCATGGGAGAGTGTTGAGTGCCTTGGCATTCTGTTTCATCAACAATACTTTTTTCTGGTTTTATCAAGTTTCCAATAACACTGCCTGGCAAGTTCCTAATTTTCCAGACCCTATTAGAATCTCAGTTTATTATTTGTGTTATTTGGAGTTCCCATTATTTGAGGAGGAATCTGGTTATTTCAACTTGGTATTAAATTCTTTCGACATTACATTGAAGTAAAATATATTCTTTTCTTCTTCTCATATTTTTTTGAATCTTTTTTAAATTTGGTTTTGCTGAACCTTTCTTATTTAATTTACAAATACGATTGTTTCAACAGCTTGTCCTCCTAACTGCTTTCACGTTGTTTTTAACGCTGCCATTGTAGAGATGATGAATACCGCTGTTGTATCTTTTTCCACGAATGAAATACCAATCCAATTCTTGATGTGTTTCTGTTCGTTCATGAAATGACCGAATTTAATGGCAATGTTGCATAGAGCCAGCCTTTCATTATTGTTGATGAAGATATATTGTAATTGTATTCTTGGCTATCCTCATCAATCCATATTACATAGGTCTTCTATATATAAGAGAATTCTATAGCTACCTAGCTATTTAGGAATACAAATCAGTAACAACTTAATTAGGAATCTAACTCCTCAATAGAACTCTCATTTACAATCTAATCTTTTAAACACTCCCCCTCAAGTTGGAGCATAGATGTTAATCATGCCCTCAACTGCTTACAAAACCTCTACTTTACAGACAAAGCACAAATACCATTTACTCCCAGCTAACTGTACCCCACTTTCAATTATAGAGCATAGAATCCACAAACAACTGTACCCACTTCATTATAGCAATAAAGAATCCCAAACCAAATAGTAGTAGCTGAATCGAGACAACACACTTAGGTTGTCGAAACAAATCTCACTGGACCAGAAAACAACTCACAAGGCTGTTTCCAGCTTCCATAATCAATGCCTCAAAGAGGAAGCCTAGTAGCGCAGATATTCAGAAACGCAGCAAAGGAAACTCTGGCAAACGGAGCGAACCACTGAAGGCTAAGAACACAATGCAACTCAATGGGGTTGCACTGCTCTCGACAAAGGAGAAGGTTCAAAAGCAGAATACCCATAACTGCAGCAAAGGTGCATTACCAAACCCTAATGCAATAAACAATCACTAGAAAATCACCGAAAATTACCTAAAACAATTGTCACAACAAAGGAAAAGATAGGTTTCCACGGCAAATTAAAGCAACAACAGTAGCAGAAGACTGCCCGACACAGCTGCAACAGAATCGCAGCAAACAAACCTATTGAATAAGCCCAAGAATAACGATGCAAGAACATCGAATCACTCATAGGTACGATCACTCTCTAGTACACGACGGAGAGAGAACTAGAGTGAGCCTGAGATGCGCCAGCGCTAACCAGGGAGAAAGAAAAGTGACGCGTGGGGCCAATTCAATGGATCCGCATTTCGAGATATCTGGGGGGCACTGTCAAGCTGGAGAATATCTTGAGGTACGGTAGAGTGGTACATCTACACCTGAGGCGACTTACCTAGGGTGGCAATGCTTTACTCGCCAAGGAAGTTTCAGGGAAATTTGAGAATATCCTGAGGTCGGTGGTGAGACAAAATACTAACCCTAGAAAGGCTTCCTAGGGTGGCAATGGCTTCTCGCAAGGGAAGTTTCGGGAAATTTCTTTTTATTTTTTTATTTTTATTTTTTTTTTTTGAATGGAAGGCTCTGATACCATTTTGAGAGAATATATTGCAATTGTA